TCTAAGGTCTCAGTTTTTACAACAGCTGCCCCACCCTTCAAACCAAAACCATTCCTGTTTCACGGCAGAAATAGGCAGGTTGGTGGTACCTACCTATGCGGATTCACAAGACGTCCGTCCAGCACCAGTAAAAAATTATGAACAGTATTAAATTGGTATGTATGTTTGTTTGTTTATAATGGAATCTTTGAACGTGATTTTCACCGATTTCATAACGTCTGATTAACTTAAAAAATTCCACACACATTAAGAACCGATGACAATACAGCAATTTTATAAATTCGCTCTTACCTTACCAGTCTCAATAGGATTAAATAGATCAGTTTAGTATTTAAGGCTCTTTTCTTACTTTTTTAAACTACATACACACATATTTTATCAAGTCTTACTATTTATTAATTATAATGTTTTATGTTTTGTTTTATTTATCTCGGCCAAATTTATTATAGCGCAAAAATTTAAAAGACAAGCCGTACACATCAGGAGGTCTTATTTCAACATGGGTGCTGTCATGTGAGACATGCGATCTTATTGCTGAAAGCGATTTTTCCAGGCAACCGTTTTCCCTAGAGAGATTCTTTTTTCAGCTACTTGAATGAAGTAAGCTTGAATGAAGTAAACTTAATTAAATAAATAAATAAATAAATATTTACTAACAATCACGTCACGTTAACTGGTCCCGTGATAAGTTCGTAAAGAACTTGTGTTACAGGTACCAGATAATGGGAATAAATGTAAGATTTTTATTATACACATACATATATTTAATATACATCCATAACCCTGGAAAAGACATTTATATTTATCATACAAATATCTTCCCTTGGCGGGATTCGAACCCGCAACCCCCTTGTATAGTGACCATGTCACTTACCACTACACCAGACGGCCGTTAAAGATACATTAGGTAAAAACATACAGATTTATATGTATACTTAGAAAAATAGGTACTTGCCTGCGGGCTTTGAACAGCGGCGTTGTCACATCGCTCCATACGAACACACTGAGTGTCCTTTAGATCACAATGACTCCAAGGATTTGTGCCAATTTTGTCACAATTAGTTCAGGAACGACTGCATCTGTGATCGAAACTTTCTTGACTAGTCCATACGCTGCGCTATTTCCACGAGAACTCTTCGGTGTCTTGAAACGTAATATCAATTGATCATCATCACTTGATGATACTAAAAATATTAGACTTGAACTATTTTAATTCCAGTACTATTACTGGGGCCGTTTAAGACTTACAATACTATTCTTAACAGCTATTATAATTTGTTTGTTTATTTCTGGGATTTGAACCGACGTCTGGCTTAACGTCTCCTCCAATCCTATGCTCATTTTTCTTTTATTTTCCAATTTCATCTAATCCCTATCTTCCCTCTCAATCCACGACATCATGTATGTTTCGATCTACCAATATGTCGTTTTTAAAGTGATATTTGGTAATTGAAACTGATTTCTTAATGTTTAAATATTCAACAAGCTAGCTAGCATGTCTCTCTCTCAACAACTAAAAAAATCTACTAAATTAAGTTATTTAAAGTTTGATTTTAAATTGCATATTTAAGCATCACTAAGATAAAACTTAACATGTGCGAGCGAAACCTTGAAGGGTCATTGTCAACGTTTTTGATCGATATTTTGCCTAGTACATACTATTTATGTTACGTTTTTACGTCTATTACGTAGTGTTCGTGTGAATCTATTTGGGTTTTATCTTCAGTCGTCATTCCAACATTACCTCTTTCACGAATTTTTAGAGTATTTTCTTTCGCGTTTTTATTGTCATTGTCTTGGTAGAGCGTAGTTAGTGCATATGTCGACAAATCACTTGAGTCTTCCGAACCACGAAAACTGTATTCGAAGCCTCAGAAATAACATTGATGCGAGATTAAATCGCGAAAGTAGTTTAATTTAGTCACGGAGGGAGGGTCCACGACTCGCTATTCACAAAGGTATGAATAAAGAGAAACTGGTAACTACCGTCTAATCTTCAATTTAAGAATACATATATTTACATTCATATTTCTTTACTCACACGAAGACCTATGGTGTTCGATAGAAATGTCGGAAAAATAATTTGTAATAAATAAACGCGAGATTAAAAACCGTACAAAATGTTTTAACGATGAAATGTGTCTATTTGTTGAAACGGCTCGCTACCCACAATTCGTGCCTTACCGATACTATGAGAGAACCATTCCCAATGGTGCCAACAACGAACGTACAAAGTTTCCACTGATCTCTGAACGCAGGCAATATAACACTAACAAACAAATAGATCAGGAGGCCTATACGAGTATAATATATATATTAGTTTTTTTAACGCATTGTAATTTGAATACCAAAAGTCTTTGATTTCAATATATGTACCTACATTTTAAATTCATACATGATAATTTTAAATTTAACATATTAATAATTTAAATTAAAATTTTATTAATCTTAATTGTTCATATACTCGTAGAACTATAGTTATTGTTACACCGGTATCAGTAAAACGGATATAAAAAAACTAGAATATTCTCGAATTTTTCACCTATAACGAGAGTGTTCCAATGTTCTAGTTTTATCGAGAATATTCTGGGAAAACTTAGCCGAAAGAACTTTAAAAAAGTGATACAGGGGGCAAAAGCGACTCAAGAAAGCAAAAAGTGAATTGTGATAGTGAAGTCTACCTTAATTGTCATATACACTAAATAAATTTTTTAAATGGGTATTTTGGTCTTTAATAGTTTTTATTCACTTTTTTACATCTGCAAAAATATCGCAAAATGTATCTATTTACGGCTAAAAGTCTTTGAATAAAATGTCTGAGACATAAGGACTCGACGAAATCATGAGGTTTTCACCATCTTTTCCATTAGGCAAGGGAACCCTAAAAGAAAAACATATAAAGTTCAATAAAGTTGTATTTAATCCAATAAAACCCGTACAATTAAGTTTAGCTTTACGAATGCTGTCAATTTCAAAGAGCGAACGCTCTACAACAGGTAATAAAGTTGAATACCAGTATTTATAATTTGGCTGAACTATGCTTTCTCTTTCGTTCTAATAGAAGCTTATGTTTGTAAGAGCGAGATAAAACAAAATCATTCTTGTAACGTTTTATGAATGCAATTCGAATTACTGAAGCCTTTCGTTCGTGTTACTTTAATCACACATTTCAGCAGAAAGCGCTTCGTAGGAGCTTTGTCCGTGAAAGACATTATCATAGAAATGGTCTCGTTCTATCCACGTCTAATACTCTGGGGATCTACAGTCGATTAGTTCGTATCTGCACGAGTTTTACTATGACAGTTTCCGCATTACCCTTGAACCATAAGCACTCTATAAATCCTATTTAGAAAGTAGAAAGAAGTAGAAGATTTAAACTTTCTCACTCTGAATCTTAGATCAGTATTCTTTAAAACTATGTATAAGTATTGACGTTCAGAATTTTAGGCAGAGTGCTTATATAATTATTATTATTATGATAATATTACTAGCCGTACTCACCCGGATCGCTGGGCATTTAAAATTAACGTTATTACTTATTGTCATTATTATTAGGGAGTCCAACACTCATATAAATATTAGCCTATACATTAAGTATACCTATGTATTTTCTACATGGATACCAAGTTTCAAGTCAATCGGATGCATGGTTCAGTAGTTATAACGGAACATCCATAACATTAAAACCACTGTAGATTTATATATTAGTATAGATTAAATACATTATCAAATTAATCTATTATAAATAAATTTTAACCAATAAAATAAAATAATAGTGTCGCCTCAAACGTATACTGTTAGAGTGCAGTGCTACTTGATTAGATATGACCTATCGTTGTCCTACCCTGTAAACATTTTATCACGTAGAAGCTGCCTACAGTACCACCTACTGGGTTTAATTATAAATATAAAGTGTCTAAGAATGCACTCAAACACATACAAAAAAATCAAAATCGGCCCAGCCGTTTATATGACAAAAAACACACACAGAAGATACACGCATTTATATTTACCGATATTGTTACAGTTTCAACGTAAAAGTTACTACCAACCGTTGCTTGGTAAGTGCTTGTCAAATTGTAGGCCGTTCATAGTTATTTAATCTATATATTATTAGGTGAAGCAAAAACTTTGTATCCCTTTTTACGGAAATTGCGTGGACGGAGGAGTATGAAATTTTCCACACTTATAGAGAATATAGAGAAGAAGTGCACAATGCCAATATTTTTTTAAAATAATGCATAAATTGCAATAAAAATGCAGATACATTAAATCAATAAAGAAAACATTACACACACTACATACCGTGTATTTGACGCACACACGCATGCATACTATTTATTGTCAAACTTTTGTTCTTGACGTCTGTTGTCAAATTGAGAATAGAATATGGTTTGTCTTTGTTAATATTTTTTATAGTGTAGTCTTGGCGAAATTTGTGATTATAGAAGTATAAAATACAATCATAATAGTGTTACAAACTTACAATTCCAATTAATTATAGTCGAATTTTGACTATTGCGGGACCTCTAGTAGTTATTTAAATGTGCTTCTAAATCATATTTGCACAATGTTATAATCAAATTCGTAAAAGTTTCTAACAATACCAATGCAGTTCCAGAATATTTTTTAAATAATAATCTTTCACAAATATGAACATAATTGAAGCCTACTAGTAAAGTGCCTGAATGGATTTTCAGTTTATTATTTACCACAATTAATTTAAGAACAATAAAAACGAAATCGGTGGTAAAAATTGCAATTGAAAAAAATATAAGCCTTTAAAAATAATTGCTACACCATGTATCAAAGCTGGCTGAAAAAAGAAAGAGTAATTATTAGAGGAACATCCACTTGATTGGAAACAAATGACGATGATGTTTTTGACGGGAGTCATTCAAAATGTGACATGAATGGTAGTGGCGCATGCGCGTCAACTCCGCTTTCAGAGAGATATAAGCACAGCGCCCGATCCCTTCACCACACACAACTTAGGCGCACCCAAACGATCTAACAACAGAACTCACCGATAAAACACATAAAATACTCATCACTATCGGAATTACGTATTCTGTTTTAAAGGTTGCAGTGAGTTGAAAACGAGTTCTTGCGAGTGTTTCAATAATAAAAAGGCGACTCCGCGAACTTTTGACTACTTCCAAAGTTTCAGCAACGCATTAAAAACTCCGCTACACTTGAACGTGAGTAGTATAATTATGTATTTTTTATTTTGTTTTAAATTTGAAATTTGTTTGAAATTTTATGGATCTCGGTGATAAATAGTATACTTACAATAAGTGCCCTACCGAACTCAAAAATTAAAGACCAAGTTCTCAATTCATGGCGTACGTTTTGTTAAATGTGGCTATTTCACGCAAATAAAATAGCAAAATGTTAAGATTTTTATTTATTTACTATTAAATGAACATCGATTCTATGAATGTAACCCAAAAATATACCTTAAAACATTAAAATCAAAGGAAATTATAACTTCAACGGCTCCGGCTCCAAGTTGGAATTATCCCCAGTGTTACTGTTTTTTGAAATACATACGAAATCAGTACTATATGCCATACAGATCTCCAGCACTAAATAACTTTCACAAAGATATCTACATTTATATTATGGGATATAACCTGGACCCCGTTTTATTGTGGTCAGGTTGGCTGAAAAATCGGCTGAAAATTTGACTAACGATAAAATAAAGCTTTCAATAGCGATTAGCAGACCAATAGACCAACCATATCGACTACTTTTCGTAAAATCAAAACGGTTTTCGATTTTTTCCAAGTCAGACACGTCCAAGTTGTCGCGGCCTAAAGAATAAGACGCCTGATGTATTCGTATCAAGTGATGGGACTATGCCAGTGTTCAATTCCGGAGGGCAGAGATCAATTTTTCTAGAGAAACACATACTTAACAGGTGTTTATAAATATCGTGCAAAATTTTTACGTTTTTCGTAATCCTTCGTTGTGGGGCTAATTGCAAATCCGCATGGATAGGTACCGCCGTCCTGCGATTTATATCGGAAAACAGTCATGTCGTCATTTATTTAACATCAGGTAAATCGTGAGTTCTTTCATTATATCAGCAATAAAAAAGTTGGTATGGGAGAGAGAGTCACCACTCCGAGAATATCGAAATCTATCTTGTCACTGGTCTGTATTATATTAATCTTATAATATTAACTCTTCAAATGGCATAGAATGCATCGTGGTAGCTTTAGGCAAGATACAGTGCTATAATACGCCTTCCCACTACTAAAGATTTAATTAATATATAACCAATTACCAAAATATATACTTTAAATAGCACTTATAAAAATACGGATTTTTCAATATCCTTTCAATTAAATTTCAACGAATTCACTTCGATTATAGAATCTTATATTGTTGTATTATTGATTACTTCGTAGTTATTATAAATATTTATTCTAATTACAATAGCATATCTCTATCCATTATCTTCATTGTTAGGAGCACAGAAATTCTCATTCAGTCACAGGAAGAATAGCGTTGCCGTGTCGTAATCAGGCCCGGATTTTCCTACGAAAGGCTTTTTAAACAATAAATTCGGCTTTACATAAATTATTTCCAATAATAACTTCGAAATGTCATAACAAAAAAAAATTACGCGTACTTCGTATATAAATTACTTTCGGATGAATGTCACGAAGTATTTTACAAAATTTTAAAATAGCTTTCCTTGTTACGTTCGTAATAAAAACATTTGGTGAAGGGTTGCGGCCTGAATAGTTAGTTGTGTCGGTCTTTTTTGATAATTACTCTTGGATATAGTTTTTCAAAGTTTTTTAATATTTGTTATTATTATTTTTGAATAAGAATAATTTTTCCGATCACACGCTATTCAAAGTAACTGATCTCGTTGCCAAATTACCCTGTGTTTTTCAGTGTGAATGTTGCACCCAAAAGTCGGTTGTACAAGAGCATTGAATTATGTAGCTTAGTTTGGATCTTGTGCTCTCGGTCCGCTTGTTATTTATATCACTGTAACGATTTCCAAAATTAACGTGAATACCACTGTCAACATTAGAAATATAGTTACATGTTTTCAAAGATTTTGGATGCCTAACACCGGCAAATGTAGGTAAGTAGTGTTGTAATGAACTTCAGCTTAAACATCGATTTAGCATCAGATTATGAAGGATCGACTGAACGTAATCGTTATAATGAGTCCATATTTAAAACTCTTCCGGACATACAGTTTTTACGAGTAGGTATTAGAAAAATCGAAAACATAAGGTCAATACAGCTTAAATTACATGTCACTTCACTAATAAGAAAGTAAGGAATTGCCTGTTTGGAAGTCAAACTGATTTTTTTAACACCACAATGTAATTTTATTCATCTGTCAAATGTAATTAAGTAACTCAACAGAAACTTGAAAAGGGAAGAAAAACTTAAATGAGTTTGTTTACGTGAAGGGTTTGCAGCGTGATCAAAATGAGTCTGATCTTTGAAACTATAGTTCAGTAACTAAATTAATACTCTAGAATTAAATACGTAATTAGACACTGTGGTGCATAAATACAGGATACAGGAAAGGGATCAAAGGATTCGTTATAAAATCAGGAGATCAGATAATCCATTTAAGAACCTTATCCGATTACAAATTAAAATATTTGCATTTCGTACTGGAATGTACTCAACGTACATTACATAGATTTATCTACGTTTTGAAATTATTTCATTATGTTTGCCAGTATTCCAAAATACATGTACAAAATTCAAAATTACATCCGGACCTCTTTGTTGGATTTACTTCTTTATAGAGATGATATTATGCAAACGTTTTATTATTAATTTAAAATTATTTTAATTGAATACGAATAGTTTTAAACTAGAAAAAATAAAAATATCATGGCATGACAATGATCTTTGATTACTTATGGTGATATATTTAAGACGGAAAATACGTTGAAATAAATAGTCATAAGAATGATATTAACAATGTAAATGTTTTATAGTAACGAAATTGAAGAAGTTGGTCAAACTTCAGAAATGTAGTGCGTCGAAACAATCGTTCGCGAAGTGGGACTTCTTCAAACAATGGCTGGACTACAGCCAGATTTGAATAATTACTGCGCGTATCCTTGTCCTCCCCTATTTGTTATCAGTTAGTATTCAAAGGCTGTAAAGTTGGTTATCTATATTACAATCTAATAGACAAAACAGAACTATAATGGAGATGTAATCCTCAACAAGAGATTGTCTGGCCAACCAGTTTTAATTAAGAAAAGGTGTTTTTGTTTACGGAGTCTTTGTATCGCGCTGACCGAAATGCCGCTGCGATTAGGGCTTCGTAACAAGTTATGTAATACGAAAATGAAAAATTCTCATTAATTTATTTCAAACTAAATATACTTTTTTTGCTTGATGAATCAGTTAGAATCAAAAACAGTATTGAGAAAAACGCATGGCAACTGAACGAGTTGATTTTAATATTCATATACATCTTTTTACTAGCTTTTATGGATCTTGGTGTTGGTGTTTTTACTTAGGTCAATTCTAGCTAGTAATAAACGTTAGTTTGACAATATTCTAACGCAAAAAAACAATTTGAAATTATTTAAATGAGTCGTAAAATCAGTTGTAATTATGTTCCTGGTAAATTACTATTGAATAGTTTAACATTACTGCTACATTGCAGCTATTTATAGCTTTCAATAATCTACATTATCTGTTATCTACAAATCATTATATTCTTCAGATAATGCATATAAAAACTTGGAATTTTCAAGGAGCATCAAAGACTTTTCTTAGAATACTAACTTTTCACGATCAGTAATGATAAAATTCAATAATTAAATTTTCAAAACATCGAAACGTAAACATTAATCAATCTCTGGATTATTATCGAATATTAAAATCACGATTCATGTATATTTTATTAATATTTCAGTTATCGAGCGGATGTTTGTTCGTTACAACAAAACTTTTCAACTTTCACGACTCCCATTAGATTTGTATTATCGAGTGAAACCTGGTTAACCTAACCACAGTTCCGAGTTTTAGAAGCACCCACTTTTTAAATACTTTTCAGGAACTGTGTCAATTTCGTTATTTCGTTTCGAGGTTCGTATGTATAATGACAAGTTTTTCATTTAGTAAATTTGAAAGTGAAATAATTGATCCATTGAAAAGTCAGTCGCTACGATGCCATTTCAGTGTACTGAAGTTTCATTAATTTTAAAATTGTACAAAACTGAAAATAATAAGGTATTTTAATTTGCCTGATAAGAAATAAACTTTTATTTGCGGTTCCAGTCGACTGTAGTGTTTGTTGTAAGCAGACGTAATGAATTAGGTACTACTGTCGCCAATTCAGGTTTCTGATTTACTTTAGAAGACTTGATGCGTGAAGTCAAAGAAATTTAATATTATTAAATTAATTTTCATTCATTTTTTCGTTCATTTTAAGCTTCTCGATGTCAAAATACAATCTGAAGATTAAGATAGATCTTAATAAAACTCTCGTGTCTCTTTATAAAACTCTCGTGTCACGATGTTAGTTACCATACTCCTTTGAAACGGTTTGACCGATTTTTATGAAATTTTATATGCATGTTTAGTAGGTCTGAGAATCGGCACTATCTATTTTTCATACCCCTAAGTGATAAGTGTTGTCCACCCCTAACATTTATTTTTTATTTTTGGACTTTTTTTTTGTTATATGGCGGGTAACCATCATACAACGAAAGATAATCGACAGATGCCTGAATCTCGCTTACGACATTTTCAAGATAAAGCGTTTATATACAAGTTCCGAACAACAACATTCGGACCGTCGGTCTACCGAGCAATATCACCCGCTCGGTGGAAGATCTTCCCTTTGTCGTTAAGCTTCCCCAAACTGGTGACCCCGACGTGATTTGAACACGCAACCTTCTGATCTGGAGTCAGCTTAAGTTAGTTAAGGAGTTAGTTAAGCTTCCCCAAAGTTATAATGAGGCATTATGTGGTTGAATGAGGTTTTGTTATTTTTATATTCCCTCATCGTTGACAGCGCTACATGCCTCTTCACTCATTTACCACATCCTTACACACTTACAATAAGTTAGTTTTTTTTTCTACACTAGATATTCCCTAGAAATCTTATATAGCTGACCTCCTATCTAGTATTTCCTATAAATTTTTCATCGTAGCCGTGGCCCGTTAGTATCTGGCGTTTCTCATGCGT